TGTAGCACTATGAAAGAAAAGATTAAAAAAAAAAGAAAAAGAAAGAGCAATAACGTATGCACACACTCACGGTAAGCACTGAATAAAAATTACGCGCTCTGTACACTGAAAAAAAAAAAAAAAAAAAAAAAAAAAAAGATGAATACTTGAGCACAATACACGCACTTTTCACTGCCCTAAGTAAGTACTGAATAATATTCACACGCACTATATCAAAGCACTGAATAATATGATTAATACTGGAGCTCTTCGTAGCATTAAACTTGAATGAGGAGATGTACAATCAAATCGCATACACTGCCGATAAAGTATGTACCGTACTGCGAGAACACGATGCACAAACTTCCGGTATTAATAATGAATAAGGAGATGTATGGTGAAATTTCAAAAATCTTCTTTACATATATTGAGTATGTGCTATAGCACTAGTTCGGACTGGGGTATGTAAGAGGTAAATACTTCGTAAGCGTTAAAATCTCTTTCAAAATAAGCAATGCACACACTTTCACAGATATGAACTTGGATGAGAAATTGCATTAAGCAATGCACACACTTTCACAGATATGAACTTGATGAGGAATTGCACTGTAGCACTAATAGAGGAAAATACTGCTTGAGCTGAATGCAAACACGCACTTGGCACGAATGATGTGTAGTACTAATAAAAAAAAAAAAAAATCAAATACACTGACAGTCGTAAGATGATTACTACTCTTATGTGGCCAAAGATGGCGGTTGACAATCTTTTCCTTCTTGTTTTGAAGAAGAAAAAAATAAATAAATAAAAGCGAATTTGGAAGGGGTGGATTTAGAGTAGTATTCGATTACAAGCGCACCCCTGCGCTGCCTGTGTCCGAGACTGAGAGGAGGGGAGAATGCTAAAGTTCCTTTTTCTTATCAGCAGAAGGAAGGAGGGTCGGGTAACCGCGTTACTGTGTTAAAGTAACAACGGTCAGGAACACAAGCCGGAACAGTAATACTTAGAAAATTAATTAAATAATCAGTGAATAATGATGAAACTTACACTACTGAAGTCCTAGTGCTTTGCTGTAACTGCAGATACAAAAAAAACTCTTGTAAGGCTGAATATTCCGTTCACCGTGAAGCAAAATGTGGGAGCAAAATTCATACGACCTCTTATCTCTGGGTATAGACGCGCTCCAGAAAGGAAGGAGTGGCCAATCCGGCATTAGAAGTGAAGCATCGCTCCGAAGCTTCGGTCACCAGATGGGGTGTTTTTCTGTTTACATTCAGAAGCTCGCTTGACAGCGCTCTGATAGTATTTCGACACATGACAATTCCATATAAATCGAAAAACGGGACACTTCTGCATAAAAGGAAAATTCCTAGTGTGATGGATAATAGCAATTTGTATAGTTTAGTGACATTTACGCAAAAATCATATCTTGGTTATTTTTCAATAACTAACAACAGCGATTTTGATGAATTAGTTTTATAAAATTCTAAGCTGTTGAACTACAAAAATATAGATTTTAGCAAAAAAGTTATGCTTAAAAAATGAAAAATACCTCACCGTAGCTTTAAAATTGTATATATCTTTCGATACCCTTGATAGAGTATTCGCTACTTTTATTTTATGTTCCAAACGCCAAAATGTTTTAAATAAAATAAATTTTATTCGCATCCACATATTATTGTAACATGTACTTTTTAAAAATTAGTGTAAATTACTTTATTCGAAAAATATAGTGAATGCACAGAAATTAAAGATTTCCACATGCCGGAACTGAAAAATGGTATTTATGCATGTGCTTGCAAAAAGCATGTATCTGCATTTAACAAAATACGTAAATATTTATTAAATTATTTACAAATGTATTTGAAATGAAGGATTTATTCATTCATAAACAACTGTGAAAGTTACTGTGAAAAAATCTAATTATTAAATGTATCTAAATTTATAATGATTATAAATATTATCTAAATATATAATAACCTTAACATTGAATTGTAAACATAAATTGACATCCTGTTGACAAACACGTTATAAAACTAGTTAAGCAAGAATTGTTCGTACTGGAAAGCAATCTGTTAAAAGGTATTGTAAAGCAATTTCTATGAGATGCGTATTTAAGAAAGTAATAAAGAATAGTTTTGGAATATGTATTGTTGAAATCAAGGGTAAAAAAAATAAGTATAATTAAAAGAATTATTCCCCTTACATTTTATAATCAGTTACACGTTATAAATAATATTTAAAAAATAATCCTTACTTTATTCCCTTTCAGAAATATTCAGAGAAAGTTAAGTACTATTTAAAGTATTTCGCTATTAAATTAAAGGGTTCTCTAATTTGAAATGGGCCGAATAGAGCATTAATTATAAATTGACTTATAGGTTTTGATTTAAAAGATGCCTCAGAAGCTAAAAAAAATCATGTCATATATTAGAAAGTATTTTAGGAAGAAGCTCTATAAATAGAAAAGAAATCATAATTTTAATAATAGAGTAAACTTTGATCTTAATTTTTGTAATCCTTAACCGAATCAAATCGAATTACCTTAATTTTTTTTTTCTAATGTAATTAACGAAAACTTGTGAAAATATTTCATATTAAACCATTCTGAGCAAACTGTTCTGTGAAAAGTATAGCATTTAATTCCGTTCAGAATTAAATGTTGTTTAAAACTGTTTTCTTTTCATATACTTAGGACTCTGAAGTATTGTAGAAAAAGAAAATATATACATTTATATGCATATTTACGATGTAATTACAAAATGTTTATATCCGATCGTGTCAAAACCCATTGAACACAATGGTAAATTACCCAATGTTTTGGTCACCAAAGAAGGGATCGCCAGTGCTTCAAAGCAGGGCATGGGGAAACTGGTTTAGAGCCACTCCATCTAACTTTCTACCTTCATGACTTTATGGGGGGGGAAGAGAAATAAGGCTTCAGATTTATTGCCTGATAAAACTAATTTTCTTTTCTTTTAAGAAGAATCAAAATAGTTAATTGTAAAAAAATCAATAATTACCTTAACTATAAATAAATTCCAACTAAGCTAAAATTTAAATAATTATAAATTTGTCTAATGTTTTTTCAAGAAAATGGTATAATTGTTCCCCTCCCCCCCAAAAAAAATGGTAATAACGAATCTTTACTTAAGCATTAAGTATCGAAGACTACTTACCTACTTTTCAACAAACGTTAAAAGTTTTGCTACTAAAACTGCTTACCTTACTTGTTTACTTTGTTTGACCAGAGTTCAAGGTCCCGGCAGAATGGATGAATGATTGGTTTTCGTGGTTTTTTTCATACGTAAAACTGTGGATACGAACTAGTTTCCCATAGAAATTTCTCAAGGAAAGCAGCTCTCTTCATAGGCAGATAGCCCTCGAATCGCTTTGCCCTAATCAATTAATTTAACTTCAAAATTTCTTTGAATCTCGAAAGCAGTGAGATGCTTGAAAATCGAATATATCGAAATCAAATACATTTCAAGAATACACTAATTTAAGAATACATGTAATTTAATATGCATTTCGAGACGAAACTTTGTGCGCAGAATTTTAAAATTAGTAATCGACAGTACGTCTTAGACGAATATAACAGTTCTAGCATTTAAGCATAGGACCGTGAATATGACCCAGTTTTACTTAGAAAATCCTCCACGAAAGTATCCCTCCTTTAAGCAGATAGTCCTAGAGCGCTTTGCCGTAATTGAATAAACAAAGCAATTATACATAGGACGTGTATTAATAAGCTAATTAAAAATCTTTGTAGTAAAAGTCCTAAAAGTTTGAAACACGAATACAAATACATACAACTAAATCTGCTTTTTATAACACTTATTCGTTTACATAAATAGCATAAATATGATGCTTAATTGAATCAAAAACAAAAAGTCCTTACAATTCGTGTTGATGATTCATAAAAGAAAAGTCATTATGATCTATGATGATATTCATAGAAGAAAATTCATGAGATATGTATATAGGGAAAATTTAATATATTGTCAAAAAAGTTCCGGGATAAAGGTTGTAAAAAAGTAGAAAACTGCATTTACCAAGTAATGATCCTAGCTGCTATCAAAGTAGTCCTCTTGGCTATCTGTACACAAATACCAACGTTTCTGGAGGTCTTGGAAGCAAACGGAGAAATCTTCAACTGCGATGCTAGCAAGTTCATTTGTCACAGTCTGTTGAATTGTCTGTAATAATATTGATGAAGCTTTCCTTTCCATCACCTTTTCGCTCACGGAAACAATAAAAAATCTCAATAATCTTTGACAAAATGTGGAATCACGTCTGGCTGTATCTAATAGTTTAGCAGAAATTCTTTGTCTTTCCTCTTTCTGTTCATGTGTTAGTGAGTGAAGGATTATTCTTGCATTAAGTTTCCGTTTTCCTAAATCTTTGCGTAAAATCTTATGACACACATCACTACTAAAATTCATTTCTTCTGATAATCAATCATACGCACAGTTACACGACGGTCTTCTTGCAATAACTGCCTCACACGCTCCATGTTTGCATCGGTATGTGCTATAGACAGGCGACTAGGTCTGGGATCGTCTTGCACTGAATCTCTGCCTTCACGAAACCTTTTGCGCCGCTCGAAAACATAGCTTCTTGAAAATGTCCCTCCTGCATATTCTTGCTTAATCATGTTACACGTTTCACTAGGTGTTTTCCCGAGCTCAACGCAGAACTTAATGTTCACGCTTTGCTCAGCATCCATTGCGTCACCTTAACAAATGAAACAGCAATCCGAACAGTGTGTTGCTAAGCACAGCCCTACCAACTAGTAAGTTTGCGTGGAAACATGGCAAGGTCATGGCAAGTAAGAATATATATCAGGCAACATAAAAATAAAATAAATAACATTTGTTCCTTTTTAGTACTCCAAACTCAGAAATAATAATAAAAAAAAAATTCTCCTTGAACTTCTTTGACAAAGGATGTATTACAGTTTTAATAGTTCACAGTTTGAACTATTATTTTGAGTAACAAAAAACAATTTTTCTTCCCACAGAGTAAAGAATTCATATCACTTCCTTGGACTGCTTTTAAAGAACTTCTTCATGCTTTGCATCCATTTTATTGGGACTTGCAAGCCGCGCTAACCAATATACTTCACAGCGTAAAAGAAAAGTCAAGAAATGCTTATAAGGAAATTAAAGAGAGATCTATCATTAGTAAGTTTTACTTGCAAATTTTAAAATCTATTATAAAAGTGAACACATGAATTTCTGCCAATATATGCCAAAACATTTTCATAAAAAAAAAAGAATTTTACGCTTTAAATAAATACTGTCAATTTTTAAATAAATTGTGGCAGACAACGTTTGGTTATGCCATCACTGAACAAGTTGCTTTCATTTTGAATTGCCATTTTTTCCATATGTTTTTGTAAGTTTTCTATGAAAACATAGCATTAAATATCTGTATTATTTCGTGTTAAAATATGTATGGCACCAAGATGTCATTTCTTTTCTCCTTTAAATGTAAATGTTTTACTATCGCATTTTTCCAAACATTTCACTTATTTAAAAATTTATTTGCAGTATGGGCTATCAATTACTTTAACGTCCCTGATGCCTTCTACGGAAGCATTATGAATGTACGGACAAGCATAAAAAATCTTCTCAAAGTATTCCTGCAAGATGATGAAAATTTGGAGTTTGAATTTAGAACTGGGAAATTATTAGTATTGGAAGCCTTTGGATATGTATGTAGATTTTTTTTTATTCCCATTGATTTTTAACGCATATTGATTAATATATAAACGGATTCTAATGCATAGCATAGTATTCTTTCAACTGGGCATTTGGTGGAAGAATATAAATTAAATCTGAGTTCAATATTCCCATGAAATATGAATTACGATATAAATATGCTTTGATTAAATTAAATTTATAATAGACAGCAGACATTAATTTTTCAATTAGTCACATATTTGAAAGAAAATATTAGTGCTAAGGTTAATTAACATAATAAATAACAAATATCGAATGAATGCTTTAACTTGTAATTTTTCTAATAAATATGGAATGAATGTTTTAACATGTAATTTTGCTATTAAGACAAGCTCTTGTTATAAGTCAGAAAAGCTCTTGTCTATAAAGTTCTTGTTGATAAGCTCTTGTTATAAGTCTTAATAAGTCAGAAAAGGCAAGCTCTTGTTATACGACAATTTATCTTGCTTCATTAAAGTGTACAGGATTAGGCTGAAGATTAATGACTATTAATGTCGATTAATAGTCAATACTTTCAGCACAGTATTGAATTCAATAACTTAATATATAGACTAGAACAATCGTCTTAAATTGGCTGCCCTCGGGCCACTTGCAGCACCAAAGCAATTTTATTTGTTCTAAAGCTTTAAAGATTTTAGTTATTTGATGTCCGAGTTTTTCATTACTATTTGAAACGATTAAAAGCTATCTTAAATTTCATTACCATTTAAAATTCATTAATTTTTCATTACCATAATGCATAAAAAAATCTATAAATGGAGATAATTAATTTATATTAAAAGATTTGAAGACACAGAATTTGAGTAATTTTTATTCGCAATTCTGTCGAAAAATAAATAAGAAAATTTGCGAATTTTTCTTCTAAGAATAAGCGCTTTGATTGGGAATATGTGAAGAGCACAGTTGAAAACTTATCAGAAAAGAATCGGAATGACCAATGAGCATATACATTCTGTAATGGATAATTTCTGTTCAAATCTACAAACTTTATCAGAATCGAAATACCATCAAGCGTCAAGTTGTATTAAGAAATTAAGACGTTTATAAGCATTGATGTACAAACATGTATATTGTTATATAAGAGTACAAAAAAAATTTAGCAAATAAGAGAAAAGCACTAGGTTGTCATTACTTATTCAAAAGTTTTGTCCCTTTAGAAAATTTTCTCTGAAAACTTAAAAAGTTTTAATAATGTGTTTAATTTAAAGAAAGTAATTAATGATTAATTGAATGTGTTGGAAATATTTTAAATAAGTATATCACTTTGAAAATTTAATATTTAAATATATTTAAAAGTATAATCAACGAAAATGTCTTGGGAGTAACAAACCTGATTTCAGATAGAAAATAAATATAAATTTGAATTTTTTTACTTTGCTATATTATTTTTACTGTTTTATGTGCAGGATGACTCAAAAGTCCGTTAACATTTCAAAATTCAAAAATTCACGGAATAATGCAAGCAGAGAGGTAAAAATTGACACACATGCTTGAAATGACATGGGATTTTATTCAAAGCGAAAAAACAAAGGCAACATATAGCGCTGGGCAGCAAAATGTCAGTGACGCCGCATGAGAATCGTGTATGAAGTAAGCTGTAGTGAGAGATGGAATCAGTTTCTTCATGTCACTTTCTGTCCTCGCCTCTGAACGTTGGTCACAGTGTGATGCAGTTTCATCACATCAGTCGTGATGACACCCTTTTTCTTCCAGGAAATGCGTGGTTTTGCTATTCAAGCTGTCAGTGTGATGGGTGCGAGGAACGCTGATATGTTACAGAATCACATCATCCCTAGTCTGGTTGATAAACACTGTTGGAAGGTATGACTTTTATGCAGAATGGCGCTCCACCCCGTATTGCTACACATGTGAAAGATCTCTTGCAGACATCCTTTGGTGAGGATTGCGTGCTGAGCTGCCATTTCCGCCATGCTTGGCGTCATGCATGCTCAAAATAATCAGTTCTCCAGATCTCAATCCGTGTGATTATTGGTTATAGGGTTACCTGAAATTGCAAGTCTACCGCGATCGTCCGACTTGATTAGGGATGCTAAAAGACAACATCCGACGCCAATTTCTCACCATACCTATAGATATGCTGTGGAGTGCTGTTCACAACATTGTCTCTCGACTACAGGTATTATTAATGAATCACGGCCGACGTGTTGAAAATTTGTTATAAAGAACATCGTTTTTGCTAATCAATTATTATGCCAATTATTGCTTTCGTTATCATGTGAAGCTCCATCTGTTGGCCATTTTAAGCACTTTTTTGCTTTTAATAAAACGTCATGATATTTCAAACATGTGTGCCAGTTTTTACCTCTCCACCAACATTATTCACTGAATTATTGAATTTTCAAATGTTAACGAACTTTTAGTTCCCCTGTTTATTTACATAAATATTCAGGAAGCGAAATTTAAAATTTATTCAAAATATTTTTATTTTGTTGATAAAAAAATGTTCATTTTGTTAAGAATTCTGGCCCGTGAGCAGTTTTCAGATCGCACATTCGGTCAACATGCAGCTTGAGACCACTTTAATACAAGTTCAAAGTGAAATTTTATGATATTGTAATCAAATGTAATGGCATTGAATCAACATTTTATGCTCTCAAAATAATCTATAATACTAAAATAAAATATTGCTTTCTGAAACTTTATTTTTCAAAAATAATTAAGATAAGGTTTTGATAATTATTCATTTTTCTGTCTGTAATATTTTCAGTGGCCCTTGATTTCCTTGGATCCTACAGAGTTCTATCCATTTTTCAAGAAAACAGTGGAAGAAATAAAACCCCACCATGAACAAGGATTCGGTACCAAGATCGCAATTATATTTGGCCCAACCCACGTTTACACTTTCGACGGTTATGTATACGATGTCCCAAAATATTCATCAGATTGCATCTTCTTGCTAGCTCACGATCTTCGAACATCTTCGTTCACAGTTTTGAGTTCAAAGGAAGCTATTCATGTTCTATTCCCTGAGATAAGTCTCTCTATCAATGCTGAAAATGAAATTTTCGTCAATGGTAGTCATATTCCAAGTCCTCTACCAATACAAGCAAATACTGTGTAAGTTCTAAATTATTCTTAGAATTAACAACAGCGTCTATAGAGTTTTATAAATCTGTTGTTCAACCACAAAACTACCAAACTATAGCCAGAGGTAATGGTTAAAATACATATCCTCTTGTTTTCTTTAAAACATCATCCGCTTAAAAAAGAATTTAAAGTTTCAGTTTAGTTTCGTTTTATGCAGCTGATACCTGCCATTATTGATTGAGAAGCAAGACGATACACAGGAAGCTTTTATGGAAATTAATTTATATTTGTTTTCACTATGTATCAATAGATGGCGCCAGTAGCTTTACATCCTTCCTCTCATTGTTTCCGCCTGAGCATGGGCTTTTCTCTCGTCATTTATACTCTTGCAGCTGAAGAAAAAGATTCTATATTTAAGCCTTCGAAACTAGTGCTGCAAATTCCTGAATATTACGTTTATTCTTGTTGCTTTGTCCCCTTCAATCAAAGTGTAGTTGTTCCTAATCCTCTCTTTTACACATCACATTTGGTATCTTCAAAACTCCTAAAACATTTCAGATACACTATGCATAAAATTATTAATAATATTAAGTATATTACATTTCTAACTACGCAACTGCAGAATAAATTGCTAATTTAGCTTATGGAGTAACAAAGGAGGATTAAAATTAACAGCTTATAACTGCGTATTTTAAAAATATACCTGTTCAAAGGCGTATACATTCAAAATCAAAACATTTTCGGTTAAGTTTTGGTAAACGTCTTTTTACAGAATGCGATGTTAGATCATTTAATTCTTTTTTCTGGAAGTCATTATAGGATTATTTGTGAGCCGTAATTTTAAATTGTAAGGTAACGATTTTAGTTTCGCAACGCAAACTATATTGGTGTCCAAACTTAAAGGCACCAACACAATTTTTTTTTTTTTTTTCTCCAGTAATTCGTGCCAGCTACTACTATTATTTCAAGAACTCATATCATATGTAATTTGGGGAAACAAAAAGGTAATTCAAGCATTTGGTAGTTGTTAAAATTCGTCTATAGATCTGTGTTTCTTTCAACAAAAATCACAGGACTGACTGATTTCAGTTAAAATAAGTTCTCGCAATCGCTTTGAGGATGGATTGAAACGGAGAATCAATGATACTTCTGAAGCTGGCCAGTCTCAGATTGCTAGATGGTAACAATTGTTTCGAATTATGATATCCAGGTTATGGTATCAATTGCAAACTAGGGTATCATCACTGCATAAAGGATCCAAGAGCTAGCCTTGCGGAGGTTAGATATGTGGCATTAAATATACAGGGTGGTTATAATTAAAGTTCCACTTTCAAACAGTCATAAAAGGAAACTTACTGGACCAAATGTTATCAAACTGGTAATCGTATAAAAAAGGTCATGGGAATTTATTTTCCAAAAAAAAAAAAAAAACATTTCACCCTGGTGGTGAGGTTTTTTAGCTCATTTTTTCGCGGAAAATAAATTCCCATGATCTCCCTTATAAGATTACCAAGTTTGATAATATTTGGTCCAGTAGTTTTCCTTTTATGACCATTTCAAAGTGGAACTTTAATTATAACCACTCTGTACTACACGGCACAGAGATGACGACTAGAAAGCTCTTTTAAGAACTCGCTGCTGCGTCTGGAATAACAATTGCCTAGAAAACGCCTGGCGGCGATAAAACATTCTGCAAAAAATTGCAGAAACAGCCCATCTTTTGCAGGCACACTTTACTTTGACATAGCAAGATTGAGGCTATCTCATTTTGATGATCAGTCGAGATTCAGTACATAGTAATTCTCGTCGACCTGGAAACAGCTCGAGACCCGCTAAACTCAAACTTAATGGAAATAAATCATCACTTTAGTGGGAATAGAATTCTTGCCCATGGAAGCACCATTTGGACGACCTCACAAAAATTTATTAATTAATCGGATGAGGACACATTCAAAGAAATTTTTAAAAATCTAATTTTTCTAAGAAACATGCGTGACTCAAAAAAATTAAAAGATATGTCTAAATGAACACTTTTTAACGCTATTAAGATATTCTAATCATTCATGCCTCAACAATCAAATCAAGAAAATTTTTTAATAAGAAACATAAAAATTTTAAATAATGAGGACAAATTTTCTAATAAAAATACATTATTGGTCGAATGAGGGCAAATGATATATTTCTGATGAAAAACGTATGAAAAAAAGAGTACAAAAGCGTCGACAAATGTTCTAATAAAGATACGTTAAATATCTAATGAGACAAAAGATAAAAAAAGTATTTTTAATAAAAAATATGTGAAAATAGAAGAATAATAAAAGATAGAAAATATATATAAAAATTGAATTATAAATTTTTAATAAAAAATTAATAAAAAATGGAAGGATGATAAAAGATATAAAAAAGAGAAAAAGTTTGAAATTCTGAAAATTTTCCCAAATCCAATTTAGAAGCATTTTCAAACATAAACTTCCGAATAACGTCCGATATTTACGTATGATATCCAAATGAATGAAGCTTTCATTCTCAATGAGAAAGCTTTCTGATAGTCTTTGATTTGCGCAAATATTATGCCAATTTGTCTGTATATTCTAAGATAGTTCCAGTAATATCTGATACTTTGAAATAATTATCCGATCCACAACATTTTTAAAATTTCTTGTCAATCTTTCAGATAACTGATCAGTTCGCGAAACATACATCCAATTATACCCATTTATATGTCGACATTTTGAAGAAAGAGCTTTTTCCATTTCGTAATCATAATATTTATTATTAATTTTTCCTCTGAAGCTAAAAAAATAAACACTAGTATTTATTTCTTCAATGGCTTCCTCAGCAAGATTAACGCGATACATTTTCAGAAGTAACTTCCCCCCTCCTTAATTGCTAAGTTAGCAATTGTTAAATATGCTTTTTCTGAATGGATTTGTTTCAAAGATAACATTCTACATTTATCTCGATTTAAGTCTTTCAGTTGAAGAGCTTCAGTGTAAGATGGAAAGCTGTCGAATTCTTCCATTATTTGTTAATAAATATTTTTATTAAATACAATTTTTATACTGAACTAAACCTCTAGGGAGGATTCAATCTTCTAAAATATAACGTTTATCGTTTATAGGTGATAATCATTTTTTTTTTCAGTTTAACAGAATATAAGACATGTTTTATAACCTAATTAAATTCATGGTTCTATAATGTTCATTTTTATTAAAATCCTTAAATATCAAAAAATATCAAATCATCAAAAAATCAAATATCAAAAATCTCTTTCATAACACATAAATATTTAACATATCTTTCATAAAACATAAAATATAAAAGAGAAAGCATCATTTATCCCTTTCTGGAGAATTCCCCCCCCCCTGTCGTCATGTATTTTGCGGATTTGATTTTCCAACTTATTTTCTTAGTTATAGGTAAGGAGTAAATCAGACATTTTGTTATGCTGTTAAATTTTGTATAGTCAATAGTAAAACGAAATGTTTTAAAATCAGTGGGTGGGAGATTATTTTTCTTTCGGCGCAGTGCTATGCAGGCGCAGCATAGGAGCTTACTTATGGGGATTATAATTTTATTTTTTAGCATTTCTACTAAAATGTATTATATGTTGCTTAATTATTTTTTCCTTATCTTATCACAGGGGTAGGGTTCTGCTCGGCAGAGAGGGGGATGACTTCCAGAGTCTTATTTTGTGATTTACGTTGCTCAGGTGGAACAGTAGTTAATGACTGTGATTGCCCCACCGAAGGGCCTGTGTTCGAATCTCAGAGAAGGCATGGATATAAATTGTCTGTCCCTTCACAGGAGGTAATTGTGACCGCTTGTTAGGTGCCTCCGTTATAAAACAACCACCGCTTCTGGCCTTGGTAGTGATAGTAAGTTAAAAGCCTTAAATAGCTAAAGCCCGCCATTTAAAAAAAAAAAAAAATGTGATTTACCACCTGAGTCAAAACTGCGATACCATCAAATAAATCTCAAAATTTTCTTACTAACTGCTCCAGTTGCACTCTCCCGTCTCAGTCCAGTTCTCTAAGTCCAAAGCCGGTGACTGGACTTCCATCAGCTTTTTCCACTCTAACTGCACAGTAGCTTATTGAAAATTAATTTTCGTCCCCGCAGCCTTTAAAAAATTCCATCCCCACAATAATATTAGCCTGCAGATTTCTCACTATAAAGAAAATCACCTTCTGGTGTTCACTTTTTATCTGCATATTCAAGCTTACTTTCTCTACGCATTCACACTGCTTACCTTGGGCGGCCATCACTCTTTTTCCCGTGACACCAAATGCTCTATACCGTTGAAATTTTTTCTTAAAAGTTTTTTTCCGCTGAAAAAAACTTTGCGCCTCCGTATCCAGTAATTCATCTGCTGATATGCTATGTAATATAATTTGAATCACTGGTCGAGACAATTGTTTTATCAACAACGTATTTAATTCAATACGAGAGGGATTTCCTTCTCTTCGGGGTGACTGCACCCTCTGCAGCCCCTAGTTAATATTAGCCAGCAAAAGATTAAAAACCATGCAGTTTAAAAGCAGAAAGCAAAAGATAAAAACTATACAGGCAGAATATATACAGTGCTTGTCTCACAACTTAATCCTTCTCATTAATGACGCCGCAAGTGGTTGCAAAGAAATTACAAAATTTTTTATGTATTACAAAATAGATATTTATTCAGTGGGAAAAGCATAAACCGATTGGGAATTAAAAAATTTTACAGCCGAATAGAAATATCATAAAAAAAAAAAAAAAAACTTAGCCCACCTGTCGCCCAGACGGTATAATGGTTAGGGGAGGTAAACCGCTGAGTTGGCTTCCAACCCAGGTATAGATATATCCATGCAGAATTGGTTAGGGGAGCCTACTACGGTACCGAAGGGACGGGGTTCGAATCCCGGGTAAGACATGGATGTTTGTAAATGTATAGTATCGGTGCGGCCCGGTGGCACTCTAAATATGCAGTGAGCTGAAAGTCCTCTCGTGTGGATTGGTGGGAGACCCCCAGATCCCCGGGATGCTGTCCTTCAAAATTGGGGGTGGAAAATAGAAGTCTAACCTCTCTTCGGAGTAAGCTCTGGTAAACATTGTTCTTTGTAGTATGGACAATACGAGAACAACTTAACACAACTCGTTATTCAGGTAGGATTATCTCGCTAAATGCAATAAAGTTAACGTTATGGTGACATTTTGCGAGTTTTAATTGAAATTCACTTTAAAGCAATATGAAAGGGAAAAAGCGCTGCGAATAAAAAAGAAAATAGCAAATTTTTAATTTATTTTTATTTGCGTATATTTATGTTAAAGCATTAAATGAAATACATTACGTTTCAGAACAATGTACAGAGCACTAATATATGTCTAGATGAAACTATGTAATGTTTAAACAACCGCTTGCGTAAAATCTATAAAATAATTAAGAGGCGAATTTGAACGTATTTTAACAGAATCGAAACTATGGGCTGAAAAATGGGATATTATTTCAGAATTTCTAACCAAGAGACAAAATAAGATAAAACGCCATTTTGATGAGTTTTCCATACATCATAAACTTTAATCCGGAAAGAATATTTTAAAGTGACTGTATTTAATTCTTTTCAAATATGCCCAAATAAATAATCTACTGATTAATATGATAAAAGTAATATAGATTTTTTTTAAACCTTGTTATATTTCCCATGCTAAGGAAATTGAATCAATACAAGTATGTGACAATTTAGTAGCAACATTAAGTCCAAAATTTACTTTACAATTTTTTGTAAAGTAACTTTTGGTTAAGTCTTATACAAATATATGTAAACTATTATTGTTATATGTTGCAACAGCAAAATATTTATGTCTTTTTCCTTCTTCCTAACAGAAAGGTGTCAATGAAAAAGGAAAACATTATAAAAATTTCATCCCCCACATTAACGGTCATTTGCAGTAATACAGACTTCCTATGCGTTTTAGAATTATCTATGTGGCACAGAGGAGGCACGTTTGGCTTATTAGGAAATGGAGATGGCATAAAAAACAACGATATGATTGTAAGTTATATAAACTCGTATTTATTTTAGCTATAGTAAACAGAATTCATAATGTTACAATGTAAAATAACGCTGTCTTATTCTTTACTTTTAGTTGCCCAATGGTAAATTACCTTCTGGTCTACAGGAGTTCATTAACAGCTATGAATTATCTGATAAACCTGAATGCGAGGAACTTATATTCCCTTCAAAGCCATCCGCCTCGGAGGAAGAAAAGAAAGCATGTAATCAGCGCTTCGATCACTTATGCCCACAAACAAAAGAGCTGAGAGAGTCATTCTTAGATGCTTGCGTCTCAGATTTGCAAGACGGATATGATGTATGTTATGCAACAGCAGGGCTATCAGCATTGTGCTATTATAAAAATACGCCCAGTACCTCAGATTGCAAAAGTGAGAATAAATGTTTAATCGAAATGTTAATTTAAAACCTGATTTTTCTTTCAGGTAATAACAATGGGTATTATTTTTATATGAAAAGCAAAGAGGAATATTTGCATATTTTCTTGCTGGTTTGAACCTAAGAAAATTTTCAAGAATTTGAAATCTGTAGAATTTTTATTTATATGAAAAGCAAAGAGGAATATTTGCACATTTCCCTGCTGGTTTGAACCTAAGAAAATTTTCAAGAATTTGAAATCTGTAGAATTTTTATTTAATTCACATATCAAACATATGAAAAAGTAAATATTTTTTATTATTTAGAAAAAAGTAAATAATCGACATCCTCTTTTCACACTTCAGAGATAAAAACCTATTACAATTTTCGTGTGTTGAGTGGAAATCTGATTTCAGAAGCAGACCCGCATGTTTAACATTACTTTAATAGAATGGTACCTCGGTACACGTCATTAATCCATTCCAAATATATAAGCAAATGAACTGTTCAATACGAAATAAGAGAAAAATAGTTAATAAAATAATTATTAATTCTTATACAAAATTCTATTGCTGTTTATACTAAACATACATACTAATACACTGTTTAATACTAAAATGCAAATGCAGCGGGTGAAAATATATATCGTACATAAATGATGAATCTCTGTATCTTATACTGTGTACGTAAACGTTTAATAATCGGTTTCTCTCATTCCGGTACATTGGCCGAAAAAGAGTATTTTTCAGAATCGTAGACACTACCGTACTCGGCATATGGTATGCAGTAGACCAAGTTCCGGATACACATGCCATCTTCATACTTTTCAACAATCTCTTTTTTCACCTACATGGTGTTCGCAAAAATATTCTTCCTTACTTGATCTTCTCATTAACTTTCACTGCTAATGAATTTCAAAAAATTGTAAGGGAAAAATACAAAATCATTCGAAAATTCAGAGTTACAGGGAGGGTTGATTACTGAATAGTAGCAGCAGGCGTACTGACGCACATAGGTAGTCATAGCATGTAAACAAGTGTAGCGCGCGCAGTCGTGACTCTCGAGCTTTAGTTGTATTCCAAACAAATATCGTAAATCAAAGAAAAATATTTACTTCTGAACAGGGCATATACCAAGTTCGACCTATCTCAAAGGCGGATGTACACCGAGGTACCACTGTATTTCAATGTGTGCAAGAGAATTTATGAAGCAGATCTAGGGTCTCTTAAAGGGCAGATATAGAATTAGAGGCGCACGTTGTGGTTAACCCCACTATAAGCCTTTATTAGTTTAGGACTCATATATATGAGTTTACGACTGACCTCTATAAATTTTAAGAATGAAATGTTTATCCTCTGTTAACTCCGCCCATTAAAACGAAATGTTTCTCAACAAGGGAGGAAGAATGCCGTCAGCCTTTTATTTTATCGTTAAGTATTTAGTCTTAGTTTATGAATAAAAAAAATGCTTTTATTCAAGTGTTGATATTTACCAACATATTCTACAATTTTTTTTAATTTATAAAACTAATTAGGAAATAGTCTGAATCTAAGTAAATGTATATATGTATTTTCAAGTTTTGGAAAGTACAGGAAAATGATCTTCTATCAATGGTGAAAGAGGTGCATGGAGCAAAAAAGTTGAGAGCTACTGCTCTATGCTATAGATATAAAGTGATCCAAAGGTTGAGCACATTAAACTTTCAAAATTTCTGGAAGTTTCACAACGGACATTAATAGAAAGTTGTTTCGGTGAACGACACTCTCTATATGTTTGCAAGTAGCGTATAACTTGCAATTTAATTTCCAATTTATGCTAGTAGTTTTAAAACCTGTTTGCTTCTTAAAAAAAAGACGGTGATGAGTGTTCTCAAACAGAATGAAATTTTATGATTGAACATTACTTTTTCCCAAAGTTTTCTTACTGAAAATTTATTGAAGCATTGAAAGAGATTTTATGACATGTTTGTGAACCTAAAAAGACATTGGTTTTTTGCCGGTAACCTGATTTCGAAGAAACTGGAAGTTTTTCTCATAAAACATGAAGTGGCCTTCCCTCTCTTCTGAGTTCTGAAAAAATGAACTAAATCAGAAATAAAGTGTTGCGATCACCATAAAAGAGTATGAGAAAAACGTCAACGTCATCACAATAAAATTTATACGTTGCGAGTTAATGCTGAATTATAAAATTTCGCTCCGTTCGGAAATATTCATTTCCCTGTTGCACCAAACAAACGGCTTTTAAAGCTAATAGTATAAACTGCAACTAAAATTTCAAATGATAACATTACTTGCAACAGAATAAGGATGTCATCTTGGAAACAATTTGCCATCAATATCCATTTCGAAATTTCAATTTTTGAAAGTTTGACGTATGCGACATTTGGAACATACTGTACTATCCTTCTCAGACAATTTATCAAATGGCGTTAGAGTGTTTTTTGAACGCTATTATGCAAAGAGATTTCATGCAACACTTTTTGTTTACATTCTATAAAAAAATCTGAGATGAACTTAAGGGAAGAATAACATATCTGAGTAAAGCTTTATTGTAGATCTGGTTCGTCTGCCCGTAGACTGTCTAAAAGGCGTAAGGGAATGTAACTTTCAATTAGCCCATCACTTTTAGGTAGCAATTTTAAAAATCAAAACTCAAGCTGAAAGTTTTTCCTTCCTGTAGTTGAAGAGTTTATACAGAACAGCTCTATAATCATGCATAATATTATTAGAATAATGCTTTAGATCACTTCTTTCGCTAACTGATGTATCTATTCCGCTCTGTTTTGTACTTCTGAAATTTTCCATCTGGACTACAATGTCCAAGTTTATTCAACAATTTTCATAAGTTTTTGACGCGAAATCAAGTTGTGACGTTGCCATTGGATTTATCTTCTCCATTTATTCCTACTTCTAGAACTGAAGTTGGAGTTGGAAGACATCCGATTCGACGATACTGATAAATTCAAACAACTCTGACCAAACGTCTAAAGGAACTTTAAAAAAAAACTCCTTTCTCCTTCACTAAACAAACACTAGAAACATGGGGAAAACAGTGAACTGAATCAATCAAACTATAATTTGAATGAATGAAAATATTTAAAAAAATAACTTCGGCTTCTTTTCGATTACTACAATCTGAAAACTTTTCGATAATAAGAAAGATTGTTATATAAAAATCACCTCGTTTATTAATTATTATTAATATTTAAATTATTATTGTTATTATTATTATCATAATTATTATTTAAATTAAACGAACTTTAAACTTTCAAGCACTTTGCACAAACAGCAACAAATCATACTGAGAGCTAGGCGGTATATTAAATCACATTTTTTGAATGTTAAGGACATATAGGGCAAATATTTTAAAAGAGGCTTCGTGGGACACATGTGAAAAGATTGAATGCTTGAGTAAATACAGTACAGTATGAGAAGAACTTATCTTGAGGAGAGGCTGAAACTGTCCTCCGTTGACTTCGAGGCAAATGTGCAGACAAAAAAGCTAATTCTGAAAAGCACAGGCGAGAACGTCCTGCGGGATGGCCTAGATAGTTGTGATAATGCTGTACTGAAGTTATTCGAGTGTGTCAGAGATGCTGCTTGTACACCTGTTCCTTGAATTTCTCACAAGAAGAAATCACGCGGTGATAAATCTGGAGAAAGAAGTGGCCAAGGTTGGTTTGCGCTACTGTTGATTACGCAATCAGGCGGTAACACAGCATGATCATTGCAAATGTTGTACGCGCCGTGGCTCCGTCTTGTTGAAAGCAAATGTGCCTTCACTCATCCTCAGTCAGTTGTTCAACAAATTCATTAAATATGTTATTGATGTAACAAGCCGAGTTCATCATCTCATGGAAGAACATAAAGATGATGTGGCGTGATGACACGGCACAGCAGACAATGATTCCAGACACCAAAGGCACCATACAATGACCAGAAACGTTTTTGAGCGTGCGGTTGAACTTTCTTTTCACACACAGGGTTTCTTTTAAAAAGACACACACTATATATCTATATGTTAATTCCTATCAAAATTTCCTTTTCACAAACTCTTGCCAGTATTAACTGACTTCTTCAAATAATACATATAATGCTTTCAAATAATACATATAATGCTTTCAAATAACGCCAAATTTTATATTAGATTAATATATCTTTAATAGAATATTTCAAATTATTATTATTATCAATGATAATGCTTTCTTAAAATTTTAGGTATGAAAAGAGATGGTGAAAAAATTAAACACAAATTGGAAGTAGTTTTAATTGTGCAAAAACATCATTCGCTGACATCTCCTGAAAAGAAAAATTCTCCAAACAAAGGTATAGAAAGACTTATCACAGCACTTGACGAAAAATTCAAGGCAAATGGATATTCAAGTGTTTTATTCAGTTTAGTAGGCTATGGAGGAGAAGGCGTGCACGGTGAACCTTCATTGCATACTGCTGGAAGGTAAGTATATTTTGAATTGGGGATGCTTATTTTTCAATTTCATATTAAGTCGAGATTTTTAAAACTGTAAATTCATTTGAAAATTTCAAAATATGTTACAAGAGAAAGTTATTAGGGTACTTGGTTTGCTTTAGCAGTCTTGGCGAGAATTCTATTAGGCGCGTTTCTCCACCAGCGGTAAACAAATGATTACCAATTTGCGCATCTGCAAGAAAGAGTAACCGATCTACACAAGTGCGAGAAACAAAAGGTTAACGATCTGACTGTTTTCCATAACTGCCTTGTACCAGTATAGCGGTTTTGCACGGTAAAGTACTCATTACGCGTACTATTTTCGATCTTCCGTCAACGGAAAAAGAAACTGGAGTTGATATCTAAGGTATTATTTAGAAGTAACTGCTGAATAGCCGTCACCAGAAAGCATCTGTAAAAAAATTAACTTGCCAGTATTTTCATGTATGTTGTTTTTTTATAAATTAAATTTCTAACAATGTTGCATTAAATGAAATAATAAATATAATTTTCCGGTATGTTTAATAAGAAGTAGAATTTTCTGGCATGTTTATATATACTGTTATTTTAAATAAATTGCTTATATTAAATATGATAATTAATGTACATGTTGAATAAGCTCTGTGGAGTTATGCTATTATTTTAAATAAGTTTCTACAAAATTTTAGGCAAACTTGCATTAAATTTCCGCTTTGTATATTAAATAGCTTTTGTTGTATAGATATTGAATGAATTGTCGATTCATTGTTTACATAGTTAGTTTCATTTTGTGAATGTTCATAAAATTTGATAACAAATCGAACTTTCTTAAGTCCTGATTGTGTCAACGCCGTTTTCTCTCGCTAAGGCTAATACAGAAGACGAATACCGTAATTAATCTTAAAACTAATTTTCAATACATATCATAATAACAATCGTTGGGCAAGAAACTGAAACACGCGCATTTAGAGTGTCAACATTATCGGTATAAGGATGTATTCCCAATATAATTTTAACAGGTACTCTTTTGTTTCAGTTAACCCCCTTATATGCTAGTTTAAGTGCTGTCAAAGTAGAAGACACGACGCATTTATAGACAGCACTTAAAAATTATATTTCGAATAAAAAGTGATATTTATTCAATTTTGTTCTAGAACTCCGTGGATCCCCCTTCAAACCATGGAAAATAATATATTAAAAACGCTGGAATTTAAAGGAACAGATGAAGCAGATAATCTGGAAGCTCTCAAATACGCTGCGGAGGTTTTGGGATATGATACTTTTGATTCTAAAATATTCATCATGCTGACTGAAAGCGACAAACAGGTAAAATATCCTTATACTTAAAATGCCTTAGGCAAACGTTTGTAGTGTTATCACCCCCAGACATATAAAATGCATTTATGATGATGATCCAGATCAGATGAAAATGCTGTTCGATTACGTTTAACATAACCCTCATATATTCAACGGATGGCGAGATGAAGTTTCCCTTCCAAGAGCGTCTCAGACATGCTCTAACGGTCAAAGTCGGGAGACCTTGCTGGATAATCCATGAGGCAAATATCCTCACTTTCCAAGTAATCGTGGACCAGCTGAGCTCTATGCGGACTAGCGTTGTGGTCCATTACCACGAACCCTGGACCAACTGCGTCCCTGATCAAATTCGAACTTATGGCTCTAATATTTCCTCTTTATACTTCATAGTGGTCAGGGAGCTTTTGTCAAACACATGCAGGGGTGTGCGGCCACCCAACATAATTACCTGCTCAAACCATTACAACTTCAACACAGCAATAATCCTTTTCGCTGAAGAGGGAAGAATGATATTGTGCTCCAGGCTCTCTCCAGATACAGACGCGTCAAGAATCAGTGTTCAGGATGAATCTTGACTCATCTGTTGAAAGCACAATACTCCGAAGTCTGTTCAACGCACAAGCTGTCTGCATCATACTAAAGGTGCATTCTTGTGTGTTGCACTGAGCAAGACGCAAACAGCGGGTCTTCTGTCATACAGATCCATCTTATGAAGCCTTCGTGCAACAGTAGACCATGAAACTCTGGTTCCAGTGTCAGCACACATCTCACGGGAGAGCTGTAAAGCAGTAGCAGTCCAGTGTCGCTGCGTTAAAACTGCCAAATAGCGATCCTCATGCGTCGTTGTGAATCTTTATCGACCTGGTCCAGGTCTTCTCTATAGAATCTAGCGTCCTGAAAACCGTTTCCACAAACTGTTATGGAGCCACCAGCGTTTGTGATTAGGTCGTCTCCAATATACCGACAATTCTCCATCTCATTCCGTCATCCATAAGTTTTTCGCTATTTTACCTGATATTTTATAAAATTTACGCAACTCTTGCGAGAAACACGGTGAATGCCATGAAGGAGTATGAGCACACAAATTTTCGGGAAAAACCTCGTGCGCTTATATACCCTACAAAATCACAGCTCCGCAGACACTGACGTGCCTGCTTACGTTTTCGGCTTTGAATATTTGCCTAGCTCTTCAGCGGCATAATTTGTACCTTTGGTTTAATACTGTTGGTAAAAAAAACAGACATAATTTCCAAATTCTCTTAATTTTGCAAACGAGTGTAAAACAGAATATGAGATTTCCTTATATTTACAAGACATCCTTTAATATGTACAATATTTACATTTATTCTGCTATAATATTTACATTATCTTTCATTAACATTACATTTCATAATTAACCGTACTATGGTTCATTTATTCAACCTTCATTACATAACGCTCGTCTGCCAACATACACAGTGAATAACTTTACATTCATTCCGCTGCAAAGCGATATAAGGATCTTATAAAGTGAACGATCTATCTTATAAAACGAACATTATGATAACTAATTAATTATTTTTTGATGCATTTGATTAAAACCGTGTAATTTTAAATGGCTATTTTATTAATGGAATGAAATCTGAGTTTTGATAATTATTAAATTTAATTCTTCAAAAAATATAAGATTTTTTTCTTTTTGAAAAGTATTTCAGGATTTAATTTAACAATCTTTCTTACAATTTACATACAGTATTTAAGAATATTTCTCTCTGAAATAAGTATTATCATAAAGGGTAACCAGCTAACTTAGAATTTTTTTTTTTTTTTTTTTTTTAGAGTAAAAACAAAGCTACGGTTGATTTGATTCGGCGCCACTTGGAAAAGAATGGCATCACTCTTTACACAATCTCATCATACCGATCTCTTGAGAAAGGAAAGAAAGTATTTGGACTTCGAGCAGATGGTCTCATATTCCCTTCACCAAAGAAAGGAGAAAGTTATCTGGAGTACCCTAAGGCAGACTTAGCAAAACTAACATCCGCAACTCGAGGATCAATTTTCCTTAACAAATTCGTTATAGCGAACAACCCAGCATCATTTTTCAGTGAATTTGCAGATGAAGTGTGGGCAAAGGTTCGCAAAGAAGTGCAAAGTTGCAGAGACTGCAAGACTGTAAGAAGTGGTTGGTGGTCATACTTACAAGAATGCAGTGTGGTACACTGCTAATATTGTGTATTATGAGTACTTTTTATGTTTCAGTAAATACTCAAGACTAAAGGAAGAATTCTTTCAAAAGAATAGATACATATCAGATTTTCAAGTTAATGTTGAGAATAATATCGTTCTACTTTATAAAACATATTCCTCAAAAAAGTAACACAAAAATACTATTAAATTGACTTCAACTGAATGACATTTTGTTATCGATAAATACTAATCAATAAAAACACTGATCATTTTAAAATTTGCATCTACTCATGAGTACATGTATTTTATAAATTAAGTCTTACTACAAATTTATTTCATAGACCATAGCAAAAAACTTATGTGATCAGCACAAACTCCCCCCCCCCTCCCGCCAATTCTATATTTCACAGCAACGAGCTTCAGTAAAGTATCACTTCTTATTGATCATTTGTAAACAAAATCTAATTTATTGTTCTAATAAACAGAATGGTCTATAATACGAAATTTTGAATTATATTTTATCTTTATTATATGCGGCTTAAGAGTCTGTTTGTCGCCGATAGTTTATTGGTTGCTTGCGTAATTGCACTAGCCAATGGGGTGAAGTTGCCACTGCATTCAAATAGTCCATATACACTGATAACATACATACAGTTATAATTGTTTTAATTAAATTATCATGGTATTTAAGAACATTTAAATATTTTAATTCATCCAATTGTTCTTATTATGCATTTAACTATATTTACATATGAAGTACCTAGAAACTTGCAAACGCTGAGAAATTAAAGAAGACGAAACCAACTAACGAGTTATGCGTAGTAAATTTCATCAGGTAGGTTTACTCAAACTCCTATGCTAAATATCCTTTCGCGGGTTACAGCCGAAAAAAACATCGCGGAGAAAATAACGCAAGGCGAAAACATCGTGCTATAAAACATCGTGGGAGAAAACATTGCAGTTCTAAAACATCGTGGTACAAAACATCGTCGTCGAAAATAAGCGGTTTCAAAAACTTCGCCGGGCCCACCAGCGGCCAAGCGGTAAAATCGCTGGACACTGGTAATTCGGTCCGAGGTTCGAATCCCGCGAACGGGCTGGCTGCATGGGCGTTTTCGTGGTTTTCCCCATGTGTAACGTGTATACGAGCCAGTTTCCCTTAGAAAGTCCTCCACGAAGGCATCCCTCCCCTTAGGCAGATAGTCCTAGTGTGCTTTGCCGTATTCTCAATACACACCAATACACCAAAAACTTCGCAGTTTAAAAACATCGTCGTCGAAAATATCGTGGTAAAAAATAAAGTACCTACAAATCATCGCATGACGATAACATCGCAGACATGCTTTTCAGGCTTTAATAAGTGTAAATGGATATTTCTATAATGATTTGTAAGCGCAAATTGGAAAGAAGGATAATTTTTGCTTTCATATTTTTTTATTAAGTAATAAATGTTTCCTGGGAAAATAAGAAGCAAACTTAAGCATAGAAAATTAATGCAACTTATAGCACTTAATAGAATTTTAAACCGACATAGTTAACTAACAAAGGGCATTAATAAATCTTTTTTATAAAGATTTTACTGGTTATTTTTTATGAAAAGTATAATCTATAAGTTGAATTTAATTTTCTATGCCCAAGTTTCCTTCTTACTTTTTTCAGCAAAAATTTGATAGTTAATAAAAAAATTTGAAAGTAAAAATTACCCATCTTTACATCTTGCGCGCACAAATAAATATGGGAATATTTATTTACAATTATTAAAACCTGAAAAAAGCACGTCTGCGATGTTATCGTCATGCGATAAATTGTAGATACTTTATTTTTTACCACGGTATTTTCGACGACGATGTTTTTAAACTGCGAAGTTTTTGAACCGCTTAAAGGCCCGTTTCCACTACTGCGTATGCGTTCAACAATGTTCAACTTCTATCCGTATGTCTGCGGTTGCGTTGGGGTCACGTGGTGAAAAAGGAGCAATCAGGTGCAGTGACTAAAAATTAATGGCGGCAGAAGTAGCGATGAACGCTCGCTAATAGGGAAAGAATGTTTTGCTAAAAAATACTTATTTCTGAATTAACATTTTATAGCGAGAAATCTGCGTGCTGAAAATGACAGCAATCAGCTGAATTTAGTTTAAAATGATAGAAAAACAAGATAACTGCAAAACTACAGTACTTGTTCGTTCAAGAAAATCAGCGGCAAAAATTATCATTCCAAGTCCATGAAATAGCAAAATTTGTTCTGATAATCATTTTTTAGTTCTGCATACTCATTTAGCTTTAATGAAAATGAATGTCTGACTATATCAAACTGCTATAGCAAATTAGATATGATTAAAAGATTTGCTATTTTTTCTTTTGAAACAGGTAAAAACTAAAAACGTTAATTATAAATTAAATTTGATAGCCTTTTAAATACTCCAGTTCATTGAAGAGTATGTTAAATTTGTATTTCCCTTTATAAATATATCTTTTGGATAACATATATTTGTAAGCACATGAAATATGTTTTTAGCAGCCCGTTTAACTTCAATCGGAACGCCACTTTAAAAGATAATGATTTTTCCAAAAAATGTACTAGAAGCTGAAGAACAAACTCTGGTGAATTTTTACAGACAATAGCAAAGTGAAATAGGACCAAAAAACTTAAGTTTTAAGAATTGATTTACTTGATGATGTATATAACCCAAAATATGCATGCGACTTACGTTGTAATCCTAGCATAGTGGTAAAGCTGATGGTAACGATGTCCGCTTTTTGGAGTCGTGAGTTCGAAATCCCATACGCTTTTTGCACCATGTCTGCAACTTTCTTACCTTTTTATTCCAATTTGATCTATATTCGTGTTTTATAATTTATTTCTATATTATATGCATTAAATATATTGTTTTATTTATGCTCTTATTATTTTAAATTTTTCTCGCAAAAAAGTTGAAAATTATATAATACTAATTTAAAGCATATCCTGTACATATATTTGAATTTAACAAACATTCTCTATTCGTAAAAGCAAATTTAAAGTTAATTAATTTAAATGAAATTTAATGCAAACAAAGAAATGATTAATTATTGCTGTGCAAGTATCAAAAATCCATGAATAAATATATAATTCCAAAAATTTATTAATCCTTAAAAAATTTATAAAAATGCATAAGTGAATAATGGGATAGATTATTAATCCTAAAAAAATTATAAAAATGCATAAGTGAATAATAGGATAGATTATTAATCCTAAAAAAATTATAAAAATGCGTAAGTGAATAATAGGATAGCTTATTATCCTAAAAAATTTATAAAAATGCATAAATGAATAATAGGATAGATTTAATCCTAAAAAACTTATAAAAATGCATAAGTGAATAATAGGATAATAAATTTTTGGAATTTATATTTATTTATGGATTTTGATACTTGCACTTGATTTACATATGCTCTCAGAATTTAAACGTGATATTGTATATTAGTTCGCAGCAATAATTAATCCTTTATTTGTTTGCATTAAATTTCATTTAAATTTAATTAACTTTTAATTTGCTTTTTACGAATAGAAAATGTTTGTTAAATTCAAATTTCATTCCTTGCTGCAATGGCGCAAGAGAATTATTTTAATTTATTTTGAAACCCTGCAGATATATATATATTCGTTTCACTTTTATGTGAATGTATATACATGTGCTCAGACTTTGGGATGTTTACGGCTCTAAACTTCATTACCGATTAACATGAGACAGTATTAATGCCCTAAACATTTTTTTAACAAAAATTAACTATAATAATTGCTTTTAAATTCAGTCCTCTTCAGCAGAAGCGCAGGAATTAATTAATTAAATATTTCCATTTTCTTTACCTAATGTGTGTAAATATTTCCATATGTATATGTAGAAGAGAAAGGGGTTATTTTTATAACTTCTTCTATAAAAAGAGATATGAATTAAGAAATTTTAAATTAAAAATAATATTTTATGGATTATGCATAAAATATAACTGCCCATAGTGCATTTTAAAACAAACGAGATTTCTAATAAATTATCCAGCTATGACCCTGAAGAAATCGATGCTAAAATTTTATATATTATTACCTGCTTTCTGACCAAATTTGGGCATATTTTAAAGGTATACGATCTCCCATGGCAACCAGCGGTATACAAGCATAGCAAATTTTGCTGTAAATATTGTGAACCTTTCTTTACAGTTGCTCTGTACTTTTAAAGTACCAACTATTTTTTAATCCCTTTAACTTTATTTTATTATTTATTTGTTACTTTTTTCACTAACAGTACATTTTAGTTTTAATAATATATATATTATTTCATAATATTTAAGGCTTCTACAAACACATTTTTTTTTTTTTTAATTTACTTAAGCTTCTATAGAATTAGTGATGTTCATAATATGCATTATAACCTTACTTATGTAAAAATTGCTACTTTACTTTCGCAGTTCATAAGCAGAAATAAAAATTTCCAATAACATGGAAATTTAGTAAACAAAACTTTTCTGCGTTTTACGTCAGGATCCATATCAAATCCAAAACAAACAATACTCGCTTAAGCGGGAAAAATTCAAATGTTCAGCGTCGTAACTCGCGAACTGCTTGTTTGGCGCCAAAATATTACAGTGACACCTAGCGGCGGAAAATGAAAATATTTTACGGATACGCAGCAGTTGAAACGCTTGTACGGATGCCGTAGGCGTGTCTTCAATTGACGCAACGCGTTCGTACGCAGTAGTGGAAACAAGCCTTTAGCGTTATTTTCTCCGCGACGTTTTCGTCCGCGATATTATCGGTGGACACCCCTTCCGCGTAAAGAGTTTAAAATTTTGCCGGATTTTATTCCGACATTGCATTTTAAACTGAATTTTCAGCTGAACGCAAGTTGAGCGTTTCAGGGGTAACGTGAACATTTGTTTGCATTAGCAGTCATCTATTCAAGACTTCGTGAAATAACGGACGTAAAATTAAATATATTTGATGGTTGTCTGGAAGGGTGAGCTTAAAAATGATGGAAATATCTACACAAGAAATGTTGTGTACAAAGAAATCTTTGACATGTGAATAACATTTTATTATTTAAATCGCCTTTATTTATTGACCTCTTAAGAAATGTACCGCCAGTGGTTTCCTTCATTGCACTCTATTTTAAGCAATTAAGCAAGTAGAAGGGGGAAAAAATCCCGTAGGGCAGTAAGCAAAGGGGCGTCCTCGCCGCTTGCCCTGAGTAATTCAGTTTGAATTAGCAGACACCTTTGCATAAATCATTTTAATTACAATTTATAATATCTAGAACAGCGGTCATTTGGTATGACCGCCAGGCTTTCTAGTTAGGTATAACTGGCCAAGTGTAAAAACTGGTTTTTCTATATTTATATCAACGTAATCAAATGTTTGACCGTTTAATTTTTTATAAAAAATTATATTTTATTGTGAAGTTTAATAAAACATAATTTAATTAAAGAAAATAAAGTGTTTATAATATATTTAAAATAAATACTTCGAAACGAATA